GATGTGATGGTGGCCGTGATGCGCTGCACCCTCGCCTCCACGAATACCGAGTGGGACAAGGAGGGGCCGTTACGCTGCTTGAAAGGGAAGATGGTGGTGACACCGCCGAGAGACTCGTTGACCCCGCCGTCGAAACTGGTGAACATCTGGTACTCTAGCCCCGTGCGATCGATCAGCATCTGCAAGCGCACGGCCGACCCGTGGACCTCTTGCATGCCAACCACAGCCCGAGCACGGAGCTCAGATTTGAGGTAGTCGCTCTTCCGTGCCGCCACGTCCACCTTGTGATGACAGAGCGCCCTCGCATTCCACGTGGCGAATGTGAGCTCCATGCTCGACGGGGCGGCGAAGAGCTTCACGAAGGTGCTAGAGAGACCAATCTTCAGGTTGTGGTGCCAGCACTGCCTCCACTGTCGGTTCGAGGTCCTCCCTTCGCAGCCCGATGGCACGGAGAGCGGCGGGCGACCACGTGACCTGCGGGGTGGCGGTGGGGCTGGCAACGGAGACTCGGAGGAAGGCCTTCCACGTTGAGGTGAGAGCATGTCCCTGCTTGTCGATGAAAACGCGATTGGATGGCTCAACCAGGCGCCCCAACGTCATGGCCAGCCTCTTGAAGAGGAGTTCGTGGGCAACCTGCTTGCGGTTCTGGTCGGCCGATACGTAAATGTCGACGGCGTGCCCCGCAGGTGTGGTGGACTTCGGCTTGCGCCATTCCCCTCGGCCCAGTCGCATGCAGCCCAACACTTCGTTGGCGCGACGGGCGCCCAGCTCGGGGGGGGCCTTTGAAGCGGAGGGTGCAGCGCTTGCCTTTGGGCTCCGCCTCGACCACGAAGGCGTCGTCCTGCAAGCCCGCGTCGGAGAGGACGGGGGCGATGGACTGCATGAAGGCCGCTTGGGGGAGCTCCTCCTTGCAGCGGAGGGCGATCGTCGCCAGGTCAGGGGTCCTGTCCCGGTCGGGTCCAGCGGGGGCGGGGAGCGGCTCCGTCTTGACCAGGATACCCGTCTCCTCGCGGAGCTGCGCGATGTCAGCACGCAACTGCTGTTCCAACTGCTGCTGAGGGTAAGAACGAGGAGGAGGAGGATGAGGAGGAGGAGGTGGAGGAGGAGGAGGAGGAGGAGGGTGATGACAAGGATTTGTGGGGATGACGATGAGGGGGCTCCTGAGGGAGGAGGTGGAGGGAGAGGAGTGTGTGTGTGTGTGTGTGTGAATGATAAGTCGTCTGTCCTCCTGCAAACATTTCGAGCCCTGCTGAAACCAAGGGCGGGGTTTGGACAGGATGGCTCCGAGCGAAACTGTGAGGAAAAACTGGATGGCTTCTGAACAGCGGCGGGAAGCAACCATGACGGAGGGGAGAGGAAAGACAAACATTGAAAGGAAAGGATGCAGGCAGGCAGCACCAGGAGGGCGAGGGGAAGGACTAAGGAGTGGGAACTGCTAAGAGGAGTGAGGGAGGAAAAAGGGGTAAAGCAAGACGGCGGGGGAAAAAAGAGGAGGAAAGAGGACGGGACATGGGCGAAGGGGAAAGGTCAACTGGGAAAAGACAAGGGGGGAGACGGGGGAAGCGGGAGGGCCAAGCTAAGAGCGGTCGCGCCATATCTGACATCCTACCACTCCTGCCCATCCTTTCCCATTGCGCTGACTTGTCTTTGTCCGCCGAGAGGTGTCATAGCAGACTTGGAATACCGCACTCATCTCAGCTGTCGTCCCAAAGTAGGAGGAACGGGAAGAGCAGGGTTCTTCAAGTGATATAGCTTAGAGGCGCCCTAACCCCGTTGGTAGGACCAGAGCCTTGATGCACCACCATGGTGTGCAACTCGAGGACTGGGCGACCATGAAGCAACACGATGGGATTCCTGGGGATTATTAGAAGCCCTCTTGCATGGTCCGAGCACCATGTCCTGCCTCAAGTTCGACGATTCAGCTTGATTCTTGTGCCCGATGGGGCAATGTAGAGAGTGGGGATCAAATCCGAAGGCATCTGTAGGCTCAAGCCAGACCGTGGGAAAGACTGACAATATTTCCCTCGGCGTTCATGCCACCTCTGCAGCTGGGCTCCGTTTGGACACCACACGGATATCTCCAGTGGACTGGGGGCGTGGCTAGAGTCCTCGGCGATTTGCTTGGAGACGTAATCTGAAACTAACCGCAGAATCTAGTCCGCCCTGGCTTCCCCTGCTCTGATTTACCCACTGGGCACGATGAGCTGCACTACGTGCACAGATACGTTCAGTTGCACACAAAGTGCAGGCATTCCTGCCTGATGCATCGTGCCGCTCAGCCCGCGGCCCACCATGGGTCTCGCTCCACTTGAAGACAGAAACTTATTCGCAAGCGAAGAGGCAACAGTTGGACACTGGAAAGAGACGGTACGATTGCTTTCAACGACCGTGCCCTTGCGGTGTCCGTTAGCGAGACCGGGATGCCCATGCCTGTCCAATTGGCATCCGGCATTTAGCCACGAGGAGCGGATGCCAATGCCTGTCCACCGGCAGTCGGCAAGGATGGGCATCCAGGCTGACACGGCGCCGCATCGTACCTGTGTAATGTTGCCGCGCCTGCAACTGCGATATGGCCGTCCCCAGCCGTTCAGCGGGCCAGAGATCTCTGTGATTAGCCAAATCCTCTGTGCAAGGGCGGGATGTCCATGCCTGTTAAGCGCGGGCATCATGATCTTAGCCACGAGAAGCGAATGCAAATGCCTGTCTATCGACAGGGATAGGCATCCAGGCCAACACGGTGCCTACTGAACGCAAATATGGCGAAACTGCCGCGCCCGTGATGGTAGTATGTATGGCCGTCTCATAGCCACTGAGACGGGCCAAATATCGCGGATGCCTAGCAAAACCTTCATTCCGAGTGCGGGATGTCCATGCCTAAAGGACTCGGCTCCAAAAACGTAGCCCGCGCTAGAGAGAAATCGCCACTCTGAACGACGGAAGCAAAGCGCCGACCCTTACATGAGGCCAGCGCTGAAGCGGGAGCACCATTTAAAAACCAGCGCGACCCCAATTAGGGGAAAGCTTCCTGAGTACGAAAATGAACAAGTAAAGCATTGCCTTGCAAAGCTTTGCGTTGCTTGGCAATGCTTGGTACTGCCTGGCATTGCTTCAAACTGATTGGCATTGCTTGGCATTGAACGGCATGGGTTGACATTGCTGGGCATTCCTTTCCATCGCATGACATTGCTTGGCATTGAACGGCATTGTTTGGCCTTGCTTTGTTTGGCATTGCTTAGCATTGCTTTGTATGGATTGGCGTTGCTGTGCTCTGCTTGGAACTGCTTGGCATTGTTTGGCATTGCTTGACATTTGCTCATTGGTGGCATTGCTTGGCATTGCTGTGCCTGGCATTGCTTGGCATTGCTTGGCAACCGTGCAACCAAACAACTCGGAAAACCGGGCAACCTAGGCAACACCTGGGCAACCGGGCAACTGGGTAACTGGTCAACTGGGCAACCTGAGGAAAGCCAGGCAATCGGGCAACCCGAGGAAAGCGTTGCTCGGGAACAAAAACTATAAAATACCAATTGTGGAACTCCTGTGGCCGGTTGCCCGCTTGCCCGAGCTGCCTGGTTGCACTGTTGCAGTGCAATGCCAAGCAATACCAAGCAAATGCCACGAAGCAGCGCCAAGAAATGTCAAGCAACGCAAGCAATGCCAAGCGCAAAATAAAGCAGCGTCAAGCAAAACAAAACAATGCCGGACAACGCATGACAAACCATTTAAGATCGCCAACCTAACCCTGGATCGGAGCTCCGACACTTGACGGCGCTATGTATGGCAACAGAGACATCCCAATATCCCTCCCTCCCCCTTTTGTCGGACCCCATGCAAGTCTCGCGCAAAGCAAGATTGCGTACCCGCAAAGGTTGCCCAGCAGCGCGGGCAGAAACTACGGAAACAACGATGTGTAGGGTACATGTTCGATGATAGCTGACTATCGATAGGGAGCTTCCCCCTAATTGGGGGTCGCGCCAGGTGAACCTTCATTTTGAGTAGTTTATAAACAAAAAGGACAATGAGGGAGAGGAGAAGAGGGGGGAGGGACAGGGCGTGCTCGCGCAATATCTGACATCCTTTCTTCCCATTGCGTCGTGCGTTCTGCATCCGCGGACGCGTGTCATAGCCGACCTGGAACTCCGCAAAAGGCCCCATCGTGTCGTGCGCAGTCGGGGAAAGGAAACTTGTGTGACCTGTGCTGCCCAGGGGACCTCTGTGGACTGTGAGACCTGTAGGACCTATGAGACCTGTGGGACCTGTGGGACCTGTGGGAACTGTGAGGCCTGTGGGAACTGTGAGACATGTGAGACCTGCGGGGACTTGTGTGGGACCTCTGGCACCGGCGGGACGTGTGGGGCCTGGGGGGGCTCTGCGGGACTTGTGAAACACGCGATACCTCCAGGACCTGTGAGACTTGCGGGACCTGTCTGTCGGACCTAGGGGACCTGTGGGGCATGCGAGACCTGCGACACCTGTGGTACCTGTGGAGCCTGCCAGACCTGTGGTGCCTGCGGGGCCACCTGCGACACATGTAAATCCTGTGGGGCCTGCGGGGCCTGCGAGACCTGCGAGACCCGTGGGACCTGCAAGACATGCGAGACCTGTGGGATTCAGCAAAATAGCCCATGCTGGGGCGGGAGCGCTCCTCTGAACGACGGGAGCACAACGCCATTCCGAAAATGAGGCCCACGACACAACGGGAATACCATTTTGAAAAGCCAGGCCTTCAACAATCGGATTGCAACAACCATCGGAAATGCACACTTTAAAATCCTGTGTGAGGGGGCGCGACATCTTCCGCACAATTTCAGGGGAGAGAGAGAGAGGAGAATTGCGTTCATATTGTGTAAGTGCAGACGGGGGGGATGAGGGCAGGGCGAGGGGAAGACCCTTTGGGCTCGCACCATGAGCGTTCGCACATGCGGCAAGCACACGCGGGGCGACGCAAGAGACGTGCCCGGGCAGGGCGGTGCGGCGGTCCGACGGCCGCGGGCCCGTGGTCAACTGCAGTCCTGCTGGTCCCAAGGTCGACCAAATGCCAGGACCTCCCTGACCCGCCTCCCCGTCCCCGTCCCCCGCCCCCCTCTGCCCCCCCTCGGGTCACAACTCGAGTCTCCCGCGGCCGTTCGGGACGATCTGGGCACCGCCGGAACGCTCTCGGCGAGGCGCAGCGGCTGGCAAGCATCCCGAGGCTAAAAGGCCACCGAGCACCGACCGAAACGTCCGAAAACCTCGAACCTCGAATCCGAAACAGGCCCCGAGGGTGTGCTTGGTGTGGATGGACAATGCTGCAAGCCCCACCCCCCAGACACCGGCCTCTCAAACCCCCTCCCCCCTCCCGCCTCCCCCTCCTCCTTCTCTCTCCCCCTCCCCCTCCTCCTTCCCTCATTTCCGTGCTTCCGCTCGTTCCGAATCGTGCTCCCGCTGCAGCGTTGGCCTCATTTCCGCGCTTCCGCTTGTTTCGACTCGTGCTCCCGCTGCAGCGCTGGCGTCCTTTCCCGTGCCATGCCACGGCATGCAATGCAATGCTAGGTTGATACTACGCTTCGCAGTGCTCTTCTACGCCATGCCACGCCGTGCTCTACAGTGCATCGCGTACCCTTTCGGGATCGCCCTGCTTGACATCCGACTGTGCGAGTAGAGAGGGGATCTGCGCCATGGTAAGGGATGGGAGGGAGGGGTAGGATGTCAGATATGACGCGAGCGCACCTAGCTTGCCTCTCCCCCTCCCCCTCCTCCCTCCGCCCCCTCCTCTCCCGCTCCCCCCCCCCCCCTTGGGGGCGACGAGGGGTTGGGCCCGCGGGGGCCACCCCCAATCGAGCGCCCAAGAGCGCGCTCGAAGAGGGGCTCTGGGAGAGGCGCGGCGCAGCCGCTGGAACGCACCCCCCAGGCTGGAAGGCCGCCGAGCAACGACAAACACGTCCGAACACCTCCAACCTCGAGCCAAAAACGATCCGACGCCGACGCCGACGCCGACATCGACGCCGACGCTGACGCCGACGCCGACGCCCACGCCGACGCCGACGCCGACGCTGACGCCGACGCTGACGCCGACGCCGACGCCCGCCGACGCCGACGCCGACACCGACGCCGACGCTCACGCCGACGCCGACGCCGACGCCCACGCCGACGCCGACGCTGACGCTGACGCTGACGCCGACGCCGACGCCGACGCCAACGCCGACGCCGACGCCGACGCCGACGCCGACGCCGACGCCGACGCTGACGCCGACGCTGACGCCGACGCCGACGCCCGCCGACGCCGACGCCGATGCCGACGCTG